GGCCCCAGACTCAGATGTAACTCAGCTAAAGGACCAACCTCAAGTGATTCAACCTCACTACAAGAAGCATCCATATTTATTTCAAACTTAAAAGATTTAAACCTCAAGCAACCACTTAAGTCTAAGTAGACAAGCTTTTTTAGACATTCATCGGCCATGTGAAGTTCTACCAGATTGTAACACTCTTTAAGATCTAAATACTCAAGACACGGAGTCAACCCAATGTCAAGGTTCCTCAATTTTAAATTATTGAGTTTGAGGGATCTAAGATTTGAACATCTATTGGACAAGCGAAGTTCTATCAATTCCGAACAATGTTCAAGATCTAACCGCTCAATATTGGGAGCCGACCCAAGGTCAAGGGTTCTCAACATTGAAAAACCGAGGTCGACAGTTATGAGCTTTAAACATCCACCAATCATGTGCACTTCTACCAAATTACGACATGCTTTAAGATTCAACATCTCGATATTTGGAGTAAGCCCAAGATCAAGGGTCCTCAACATTGAATAACTGAGGTCAAGGAATCTCAGTTTGTTAAGAAGCTAATGCAAAAAAAAAAAAAAAAAAAAAAAAAAAAAAAAAAAAAAAAAAAAAAGGTCAATATTAACAAAGCAATGGATATATAGCATTCAAAATGCGTGAACACAAAAAAAAAAAAAAAAATCAATAAAGTATAATTGTACCTTTCTTTCTCCCCCTTCCCAAAGTTGTACAATTCTGCTCTCAGTCATGTAAAGTGCAACAAGATTATCTGCTTGAAATGTTTTAGGTAAAGACCTAAAAGGGTAATGGTTCCAACACAAATACCTCAAAAATTTCAAATTCGAACAAAAACAGTCAATTTTACTTGCATCAATAGAGCCCACAGACACGTGAAGAAATCTAAGTTCCTTCATCTTCCTAAGACCTTTCATCACAATTTCTGGACTGATTTCCGTCGTGTACAACTGTATATATCTTGTCGCTTCAGTACCCTATAATTCAAAAAAGAATACACCATGAAACTTTTGTCGTAACAGATAAAAATGGATTTGCTCCAACTTAGTTATAGATAAACTTGATCCTTACCAAGTCATTAGCCAATATATCTACAATTTCTTTGTTAATCCACAATCGACTATGTTTGTTAGGGTTATCCGGGTGTGAACAACGAATAATGTTCCTGCCCATTTCTTCAATATGGTCATGCATGCTTAGATACTCTTCACCCCGAACATTATCAACAGTTATGAGGGATTTTTGCTCAAGAACTCTTAAACCATTTCTAGCATGAAATCCACAGCTTTCAAGTGCTTTGATTGTGCTTGCTTTCGACCATCCTTTTAGTATGCTTGCAACATTTAGGAATATTTCCTTGTAATCCTCTTCTAGATCGTCATAGCTTATTTCCAATTTTTTCAGAGTTTCCATCAATGGAATTATTTTTAGTCGTTCTAGGGCATCTGTCCATTCAAGCTCATTTTTACCACGAAGAAACGAACCCAAAACTTTAAGCGTCAAGGGAAGACCAGCAGCATAATGCACAACTTGCTGACTCAACTCTTCATACCCTAGATTTTGTATCACTCTCCCAAATGCATACCTACTGAAGAGGCAAATTGCTTCCTCATCCAATAACAACCGGACGTTATGAATCGACTTCACTCCATGTGCAACAAGTACTTGCTCATCTCTTGTTGTAATGATAATTCTGCTTCCTGGCTTAAACCAATTTGTTTCACCGGCTAATGCCTCAAGCTGCTCTATATGATCCACATCATCTAGAACAAGAAGAACCTTTTTACCAGGCATCCTCCTCTTCATCATGTTTTTTCCGTCATAAACACTACTAACAGAGATGCCCTGATCATTTAAGACATCGGAAAGGATTTGGTTTTGCAACGACTTTAAACCGGACAAAGAAGCTTTGGAAACTTCTCTAACATTTTCAACGAAGCTTTTACCTTCGAATTGAAAGGATATTTTGATCAAAAACAGCCCTGGCTAAAGTTGTCTTCCCACCACCTCCAATTCCCTTGATTCCGATCATGCGTACATCATTAGAACAAGTTCCCAAAGATGACAAAACATCATTCATCCGGGTCTCCATGCCTACTAACTTTTCATCAATGTTGAAATTGATGGCTCGTAACTCTAGTGAAAGCTCTTCAACAATTTTTTGGATGAATTTAGCTTCGTGCCTGTAAATTAAAGAAGATTCAGTTAGCGTACTCAAAATTTCCACATTGGCAATTACTTTCATGAACTTAGCTTCGTCCCTATAGTTTCATGTTTAACATTCCGACAAGATGAGTCAGAATTTGAGAATACAACATGAGACGCCATGCCCAAGCCTTTTACATCCAGGGTAAACTCAATGAAAGAATACTGCAAAGTGCAAACGTAATGAAAGAATACTACATAGATTGATGAAAGAAAAAAAAATGTGTAACAAGCATTCATATGTGAAAATAAACTAACAAATAAGTTGAAACTTTATACATCTGACTGCAAAAATAGCAATATACTTTCTAATTTTTTTCTTTATTATAGGATTGTACTATCATTTTTTCTTATTACAACATTGTACTTTAATATTACTCTTTAATAAGGCATTGCATTATAAGAAATTTACCCTTTCTAGCAATGAGCTACCGCTACCTGTCATCCCATTATTTCTTTCCAAAGACATGATATGGGTAAAATTATATTGACTTCAAAAAGACAAAAACCTAGTTTCAAGTTTCAAAAAGTCTAATTAATAAATAAGGGCAGCATTATTTTTTAAATTCTTTTCTTGTCATAATATAAAAAGTAAAAACAAAAAATATATTGCTGATATCTTCCATTTTTTTGGCATAGGGATTAATATTATGAATTATGCTTTTCTCAAATTAAGAAAATATTGATTTTGGAAACAAATTATGAATCGACAGAATTACTTGGTTGGTCCTTGTTGTTTGACAAAACAGGCATGCTGAGGACAACCATGATAACCCTACTTGTTTGGGTCTAGTGGTTTTATTTCTTTCTTGGTTAGTCCCTATGGTTTCATTTTGTTTCGTAACTGGTCTAAAATTACGATTTTACCCTTGTTTGATTTTTTTAGTAATTTTTATTTAATTTTTCAGTTTCAAATTACTGTCCCCACCCTTTTGATTGGCCTTTCTCCCTTCTCTAGTCTATCTAATTGTGTAAAGCCTAAAAGACAACCATTTCTCTCTTGAAAACACCTATCCACCTCTCCCTTCTCTCACTGTCGACCAATGGGCGCCGAATCTATTGAGTCTGGATCTAACTCAGGCTTTATGGACCAGGTCGGTTCAAATTGAAAGTAAAAAAAAAAAAAAAAAAAAAATGATGAAGGAATTACCCATCAACTGTCTTCTTCAACTCCCACCCAGCCAAATCTGCTGCGTCTTTCAGAGCCTCCCTCCATTTCCCAGCAGCCTCTTCGTTTTCATGCTTAGCAAAGGCTTTTTCAACTGCCCCGCTTTGTTTGCGGACTTCGGAGGGTCCCAAATCATAGAAAACAGGGTAAGCAGTATGCTCGTTGGTCTTGTGACACTCCATGATCTTCACAAGCTCATCCAAGCACCAAGAAGAAGAGGCATAGTTCTTTGAGAAAACAATGATGTATAGTTTTGAGTCTTCAATGGATCTGATGAGCTCATCACAGATCCTTTTACCCTTCTTGATTCTCTCATCATCTTTGTATGTATGAATGTTTTTCTGATGAAGAGCATAATAAAGATGATCAACGAAATTTGCACGGGTGTCTTCACCTCTAAAACTCAAAAACACATCATACTTAAAACTCTTGTAAATGGATGAAGTAGAAGAAGACGCCATTGATGATGCACTTGAAGGATCCTATAAATTCAAGTCTTTGATGAAGAAAATCTAAACAAACGATTGCAAAGAAACTCAGAAGAGATGAAGTGAATAACTATCAGAACGATGGTTCGATACTTGGAATGTGAAAGTCAACCCCAAGAAAACCAACCACACCCACAACTTGTATTTTTTGCTTATTTAAAACTTGTCTTTTTGTGAGAGTGGTTATAAAGCTTTGAGCGATTACATAAATGATCCTTCTGGTTGTACAAAAATAACATTCCCAGTTCGCCTTTTTTCTTTTTCACCATATGTCCTGTAATCGTGAAACTAAGTTTGTCACCTTCATAAATCATACCCCTTTTTAATTTTCTTGATCTCTGAAAGAGTCTGCTGGCAGCTGAAAATGAGAAAAAAATGACATGAATGTCCTTTCAAAATGCACATATCAACGAGCCCTGATTCAATTCTGATGGAATGATGACCACTAAAATGAGCTGGATGTAATATATCCTTCAGGTCATAAATCCACTCAGAGTTATGTTACAGTACCTCGTCAGAGCAACTTAGTGATAATATAATATATTATTGAGTTCATGGAAGAATCCTAATTAGATTTGAAAGATTGATGGTGGAGGTGAATAGAGATAACACGAATATTGTATCAAACGGATTTCGATTTTCAAAAATAAATCCAAATAGTTGAAACTAAATTCAAATCCAATCCGATCAAACCAAATTACAATTCGGTTGGATTGGTTTTTTTACAATTCGGTTTTTAAAAAGCAAAACATATTAAATAATGTATAACTTAAATATTAGTTAATACTTTAAAAGTAACTAAATGAAACTTATTAGCTATGAATTATAATTTATAAACAATTATTAAGAAAAATTAGTTATAGTTTAATATTTAATTGACAAAAAACTTTTGATAAGAAATACATATTAAAGTACTATTTTGGTAGAAAGTTTCTAACACTAAAAAAACAATTGAGTAAATTTATAAATGATTAAAGATATATATTACAAATAAATAATAAGTTGTTATTTGGTTTTTTTGGTACCATTCGGTTTTTATTTTATAAACCAAAACCAATCCGAACTCCAAAAATAATAATTCGGTTTAACTTAAAATCAATCCAAAAATCCGAATATCCGAACCAAATTGTCTAATTGTACAATTCGGTTTTAACCAAATAGTGAATAGCCCTACACGTACAACTTCGGCCTTTAACTTGATATGTTGAGTGTAGTGGTAAGCATGGTACGGTTTTTGAGCCAAACTATCAACCACAAACCGTAAGGTGCGGTCTCTATATGGAAAAACCGATAGGTGTGGTTTTTGTTTGGGTGTAGTTTTCCAGTTTTAAATGCGTATTCAGTTCCATTCGGTGTGATTTCGGTTTTTAACCGATAAAATATGTTGGTGCGCTTTTGAAAATAAAATGGTGCGTTTTTAATGTTCACACTCGATTTCGTAGTTGATTTTCCCTTATTTGCATAATTTTGTGGATTTTCATTTATTTGTAGATTTTTGTTGCAAATAATCATCATTTTGGTCCATCTCTCTCTCTCTCTCTCTCTCTCTCTATATATATATATATATATATATATATATATATATATAGGTAAAGGTTCAAATGAGAACCAAAAAAGATTAAGAACTCTAAGAACCAATCTATTTTAACATATATTAAGTGTATTTTTTTTGTTAATTCCAAAAAGGCACATTATACTTCTTTGGTGATAGATCTACAATCTCTGATGACAAATCTATGATACTTTTCTCTAGATCTACGAGTTATGCCTTTATATCTAGAGCTCCGATGAGATCTGAGACCGCCATAACACATGCTACCTAGCCACTCCAGTGAAAAATCACCAGCTTGGCTCCATCTCTTTCTCTCTAATTTTCGATGAAAACCACAACATATATGCATCAGGTACGTCGATTTTTTTTGTTTTGATTTTTATTCCTTCTGTTAAGCTGTGAATTTAGTGTTATAATCTCTCTTTTGGTGTGTACTTTTGTTAAATTAGTTTTAACTGTTATTAATTTGTGAAATCATGCTATTTAATTATAAATCTAAGTTTGTTTTCTTATTTGTTATAATATTTGCATAAACTCTTAAGTTGTGAATCCACTGTTATTACGTAGTGAATCTTGGTCTATTTTCTTATAATTTATTTATAATATTTGCATAATGATAGTGTTTTCTAAAATAAATTAAGTTTAGAATATGTGTTATTATGTTAGTGTTATAAAATAAATTTATTTAGGTTTTTAAGCGTGAATTGTAATGTTTTAATGTTTCAGTTATTCTTTAGTTATGTTAAGGTAAGTTTTAATTGTTATTAATAAGAAAATATAAGTTTTAAGCTGTGAATGCATGAACTTTTATAAGTTTTAAGCTGTGAATGCATGATTTCAATAAGTTTTAAACTACAAATGCGTGCTTTTATAAGTTTTAAGCTGTAAATGCATGATTTTTTATACAAATATGATTTTGTAAATGAAAGACATTAGTTTTAAGCTTTAAATGCATGGTTTTTTTTATAAGTTTTAAGTAGTGAATGTATGCTTTTTTTTTATACAGATCTGACTGCGTCATTGAAAAATATGAATTTTAAAATGTGAATGTTGTGAATACATGATTTTTTTTTTGATGTTTTATACTTTCTTATATTACTATTTTCTCAAATAATGTTAACTTAGGTTTTTTAAAATGATGAATTGTAATGTTTTAATGTTTATTTATTATTTAGTTATGTTAATGTTAGTTTTAACTGTTATTAATAAGAAAATAGATGTTTAAAATTGTGAATACATGATTTTTTTATAAATTTTAAGTTGTGAATACATTATTTTTATACATGTATGGTTGTTTCAATAAAATACAAAGGTTTTAAGTTGTGAATGCATGCGCTTTTTACAAGTATTAAGCTGGAAACGCATGATTTTTTATGCATAAATGTTTGCTTCAATGAAAAACATAAGTTTTAAGTTATGAATGCATGATTTATTACGATTTTATATATTATGAATAAAGTATCTACAAATTAAACTATAAATATCTATGTAAATAAACTTTTGAAAGAAGCACTACTTTATAGATCTAAACGTATAAATGTAAGTTTTAAGTTAAGAATATGGCTTTGTAATGTTTGTGCATTAAACTGTGAATTTATTAAATTAAGTTGTGAATTTTGTGTAGTGAACAAAATGATTATATTAAGATGTGAATTGATTGTACTAAAATGTGAATTTTTAATGAATTTTGTGTTAAAATATGAATGATTTATGTATGAATTTTTGTATTTATTTTTTTGTGAATATAATTATTTTTTGTGTTGTATAAATATGTAAGAATGTATTCGTTTATATAATTGTTGCATTAAACTCTAAATTAGTGAATTAATGTGTTTATTAAACAATGAATATAGTATTTAATCTAACAATGTATGATTTTATATAGATTTGGTTTGAAATGAATGATGGTTACCACATTGACATACATGGATGGTGTTAACATGTGTTAGTTGGTGGTGGTGGTAGAGTTTGAGTTTGACTTTCCTAAATTAGTGATATTATGATTGTATTAAATTGTGAATTTTGTGTACTAAACTATGGATTGACTGTATTAAATTTATTTATTTTGTATTGTTTTTATGTTAAAATATGAATCGATGTATGAATGAAAATATTAGACTGCAAAAATTACAATTTTGCTTTTTTTTTTTTCGTACCAAAAATACAATTTTTTTTTTTTTTGGATTTTAACATTTTGAATAACTACTGTGTACATATTTACTTATAAAATGAGGTTCTTACGGTTCTTAATCTTTTGTGGTTCTCATTTGAACCACTCCATATATATATATATATATATATATATATATATATATATATATATATATATATATATATATATATATATGGGGATAGGATATATACATTACAGCCTTATAAAGCTTGCGTACAAAACCCTATAAACGACATTGTTTGCTACTTTACAATTAAAACCCCAATTTTAGGGAAAAAAACAAAACACACACCGTGTTTGGGTGTGTGCGGTCATAAAAATCAGAAGTGACGAGGGAGGAGCTGAGACGAGGAGATGGGAGCGGATCGAAGTAGGAAACACAATTTGAGGTTATTTGGTTGAAAGAAATTGAGATGCAGAGGGCATATCGAGCGTACATGGGTTGTCAATCCCACTGTGTTGTGTAGTCAGGGGAACACAACTAAGAGGAGGGTAGTCACCGATGGCGGCATCACTGATCACAAGAGAGGGAAACGACGACGGAAGCGATGCCGCCCAGCTGGAAATCGCCGGAAAAGGTGCGGGTTTTGGGTTCTCAAACTTCCTTCCTAACTTAAAAGCTTCCTTTTTCTGATTTGTAGTTTCGATCCACCAGGTCAGTAACGACGACATGACCTGGATTGAAGAAATTGTAACAATTTTGGCGAAAGAGGACTACAGATGGTTGGGGAATGATTCAATAGTGAAGCTTTCTGATTTTTCCCCCTGATTCTTGTTCTATTTGCATCGATCTGGTATCAGTTGAAGTCTGTAATCAACAATTGAAATTTCAATGGCCACTTACCTTCATCGATTGAAGTCATCAATTATAAGTTGGGACAATTGATACAAAATTTTCTATCTGTGTGTCAATTCTCCCATTGGAAAACATGGGCGCTTTCTCTATTTCAGTTAAGGAAAGTGAGAATTCTTTCAATTTATCATTATCAGCATTCTTGTTACAGGTAATCTTTCAGCCTCTTCATTTCCTTTTACCCTTTTTTATGATGCTAATACATTTTGGCATTGTGTAAGATTGGGTAGGATAGAGAAATACAATAATTATATCACAATTATGGTGGAATTGGGAAGTGGATGAAACATTGTATCAAGGATGGAAACAACTTATTAAGGATCGTAATGCCAAACGTATTAAAGTCATGATATATTGCAATCCTTGTGTAGCTCCGGTAAGTAATCATTTTCTTTATCAAAAAACACTTGTAACGGTATTCATGTCTTTTGAAGATTTTAATTGATATATATATTAGATGGATAGAAATCCAGATGCAAGGAGAAAGTTATTTTAAGAGGCAAGGAAGTTGGACATTTTAGTAAAAGACAAGTCTGACGTTTTACCATGATTATTGTATTTTAAGGAATTATCATACAAAGATTTTTATTGCTAACATTTAGCTATTTTGTTGGTCTTAATGAATGGGTTCCATGTGGATATAAGTTTCTCTAATAATTTACATATGAAGGTTACAATTTTCTCAAAACCTCATTGATTTTTTTGCAAGTCATTGTTATGGTAGATAATCTACGGTTCGGTTCAAGAGGAAGGGTAAAAAGGGAAAACAATCCTTACCAATGACCAATAGGGGAAACAAAGGTAATTTGGGGACTACTATGAAACTCAAGGCAGGAAGGGTAAAAAAGGAAAACAGTCATCGTTGGGTTTAATGTTCATCACTCTTGTTTGGTAGATTTATAAGTTTATTGTCATTAGTTGTAATTAGTTGTAACGATTTGGTAACTTTATATATGGTGCTGTTATATTTTTGGCATTTTTTGTTCCGGTTTGTAATATGTACATTCCCGACAATTAGTTGGGTTTTTTTTATTATTATAATAACATTCTTATTTCAAATCTCAAAAAGAATATGTTGATTAGTAGAAGCAATCTACTGTTGCATTATACCTATTAACAACATTATACTTGAATCAATTTTCTTTTTAACAAAATAATACCTTCAACAATAGGATTGTACTTTCATTTTGTACACATAATAGCATCGTACTTTCAGTTTTTACACATAATATCTGCGTACTTTCATTTTTTACACATAATACCCCCGTACTTCCCTTTTTTACACGTAATAACATCGTACTTTCAGTTTTTATACATAATACCCCCTACTTTCATTTTTTACATATAATTGCATCGTAATTTCATTTTTTACACGTAATACCCCCATACTTTTGTTTTCTACACATAATAGCATCGTACTTTCATTTTTTACACATAATACCCCCGTACTTCTGTTTTTTACAAATAATACCCCCATACTTTCGTTTTCTACACATAATAGAACCGTACTTTCATTTTTTACACATAATACCCCCGTATTTCCATTTTTTTACACATAATAGCATCGTACTTTCATTTTTAGACATAATAACATCATACTTTCATTTTTTACACCTAATGCCCCCGTGCTTTCTTTTTTTACACATAATAGTAGTAACTATTCAACATTTTCATTCCAGAACAGCAACGTACATGATTTATGTCCAAAACTGGAAAAAAGACAAGTACTTAAAACTAAAAAAAAGGACGCTTAACCTAAGCTAGAAACATGAGTAGAATTACCCAAAATCATAGCAACTACATATCCCATCAATGTTTCTCTTGCAATGATTCATCTACCTGATACATGAAAATATAAATAGATTATTATATAAATATAAGAACTGAAAAATCATGACAAAGTAAGTTACTACTATACGCACCTTTCTTTTAGAACAACTAGTAGCATAATGACCTAATCCTTGACTATAAGAGCATGTTCGTTTTTTTGGCACTTCTAAAGAAGACTTGATTCTACTAGCAATTTTTGGACGCCCTTTCGTGTTGGTTGGAGCAAGAGGATCCCAGACAAATAATTGAGGCATTATATCGACTTGTGAAATTCTCACACAAGAACCTTGAGATACGTTCTCAACTGGTAGAGGTTTTTTCTGTATTGCTTGATCTTGTAAGAGCTTTATCAATATGTTATTGACATTTTCTATTTCTGAAGGGGAGTCTTTTGCTTGTTCAATTACTTTATTAAAATTTGAACGAACACACCATAAAGTATAAGCACTAACCCCATTTCCGTTATTCATTTCTTCGAGTCCGATACTACGCTTACCCACCTTGTACCTTGCATTAAGGGTCCATCCTAGGTAAAATGTAGTGACTCGGAAGTGTGTTAACATGCCTTTTCTTCATCACATATAAGATATATTTACATAAAATCCCACAAGTCTCATACTTAGCACAAGAACATGTGACATGGATCTTATTTGACAAATAAAAGGTAACAATCCGCCAATATTTTTTGTCAATGTCCAATTATCCAACTCGATACTTGATTTCTTCTATACTTTTGCTTATACTCTCATGCGTTAAATTGCTAGTAGCTTCCATCCATTCTTTTTTGAAAATCTCAAATACCTTTCTAGTATAACACTCACCTGCTTTTGCTTCAATTGGATGTTTTGAGGAAAGAACTGGCCTCGAGTTCATAGTCTTGAAATCTTCATCTTCTTCAGCGGCCCTTCGTGAAGCAATTGCTTTGTCATATTGCACTAAAAAGTCATTCAACATGGTACTCGAGTTAACAAAATCATCAAAAAATGAATTAATACTCTCACTTCGTCCACTTGTTGACATACCGGCCAAGAAAATATCCTTTAAGAAGGCTTTAGCCCAATGTACTCGTTGGTTATACATATCAGTTATCCAACAGTTGCTTTCAAGTTTATACTTATCACGTATAACTTCCCACCTAGTTTCAAATTCTTCAATTGTGTCACTCATTACCCATTCTTTATATGATTCTTGAAAATCACTATAACGAGCAATATATGGTCGAAGGTGCTCTAATTCATGTTTTTTTTATATGCCATGCACAAAAGCGATGTCGAGCGTTTGGAAACACTTTTTTTATTGCATTACCCATAGCTTTGTCTTGATCAGTAATAATAGCCTTTGGGTACTTGCTAAACATACATTTAAGGAAATGCTCAAACAACCATACAAAAGTTTCTTCCTTTTCGTTTTCTAGTAACGCTCCACCAAAAAGTACAGACTGTCCATGATGGTTCACCCCAGTAAATGGAGCAAAAGGCATCTTGAATTTATTTGTCATATAAGTTACATCAAAGACAACAACATCTCCAAATTTAGTAAAATCGTCTCTTGATCTTCCATCAGCCCAAAAAATATGTCTAGGACAACCATCACTGCACAAATCCACAACATAATACTGATCATTATCCACTAATGCTTTATCTTGTAAATGTTTTATTAGTCCATAAAACTCCCTTCTTTTGTTGTGTTTTCGTTGCTCAGATAATACATCAACACATTGTTTTGAAGTAACATCAACTTCATTTGAGGTTTTCATTGCATTAATAGCCTTTTTAATTTGAGAAGGTTTCAACCCTCCTTGATTAAGTTCCACCATGAGAGATTTACATTCCATTGTACGGTGGAACTTCGCATGAGACCGATGCTTCATCACTTTTGTTGGTGTCATGCTCAATTTGTGATTGTGTGTGTCATCAAACAAGTCCACAAACCATTTCCCATCTTTCTTTTTTGAAATTCGAAACATTGCTTTGCATCCGATTCTAACTTCTCTACGACGTTTTTTATCGTTTCCAATTGATGTATTACCATCCTCCCGTTTAAAACCTTATTTGTCGCATACAAGTGTCTTTCGATAAGGTTCATTTGTTCCCTTATTTTTGCATGTGGTATGAATACGTATACTAAATCCATGTACAAATGCATAATCATTATAAAAGTTATATGCATCATCAGTTGTATCGAAAACCTTTCCTAAAATACTTTCATTATTCAGTCCATCTTCCTCACATTCAACATTTGCATCTTTTATTTCTTCAGTTTCATATGTTGCTTCTAACAAATCATTTGCATCAACATCTTCAGTTGTATGTGCTTTGATATTCCTATCTGCTTCGGTTTCAGACATCATTCACTATACATTACATCCAACAATAATCAAGAATTAGAAAATATCATTTACCAACTAATATATTTACAAAATGATAGTTTGCTTATTAGAAAAAATAAATAACCATCAACAATGACAAAATCAATAATCAATATAAAATAAAATAGCATAGTGAATAGAACAAAATAGAGGCCAAGTTCGGTAATTTATTGGCAATTTCAATTAAAAATTGATAGCACAGTAAGTGGGAAACAACATGAACGGATGCAAGCAAAGTTCATAATTCCTTTTTCATCATTCACCAACATTTAGAAAAAATAATTCAAGATGTATCAAGAAATTTTACAAATTTTTTTTACCTTTTTTTAGAAATCAGTAAGCAGCAGGTAACGAGTTGAATATGGTGTAGAAAATTTGAGCAACAACAAATGAGAATGAACAACCAGTCAACAAAAATCGAGAACCATACAAAAATCGCTTTACAAATTCTACTAGCAGCAAAATTCGGTAATCAATGGGCAATTTCAATTACAAATTGATAGTGCAGTGAGTGGGAAACAACATGAACATATGCCAATTTCTACCCTTTGTATGTTGTGCGATTTCAAACATGCCAATTCCAATTGCAAATACGATGATTTTTTTTTCAATTAACCTACATGATCAATTTCTGGAAGTAAGAAATCCTCCAATACCAAAAATAGAGGAAACAATCAATTTTAGAATATTACGATGATGGAAAAGAAAAACAATCGTGTGTTGTAATTAGCCTAAAACGACACAGTTTAATTGGTTATGTATATAAACTTAGGTACGGTTATAAACTTATAATGTATATTCCCTTTTCCCCTTTTCCCTATATAGAAAAAGTGAATATACATAACATTAATTCTTGAAACTAGGTAGTTTTGTTTAAGAGTAAATTACACGAATGGTCCCTATGGTTTGGGGTAATTTGCACGTTTGGTTCCTAACTTATTGTTTTAACTCGGCAGGTCTCTACTGTTTGCTTTTATTACGTGTTTGGTCCCTACTGTTTGTTTTTGTTACGCGCTTGGTCCCTATCTTACCTAAAAATACTATTATTTAAATAGGAAAAAATGGTGGGGTAGGTAAGTTAAGGTGAAGGGGGTGGGGTTGGGAATGTGTTTATCTAAATACATTAAAAAATCAAGGGCAAAATAGTCTTTTTTTTTATCTAAAACAGGGACCTAACGCGTAACAAAAACAAACAGTAGGGACCTTCCGAATTAAAAAAATAAGTTGGGGACCAAACATGCAAATTACCCTAAACCATAGGAACCATTTGTGTAATTTACTCTTTGTTTAATGATTATATTATTTCCTTAATTCTTTCCTTATTTTTCTTATTTATTTACATCAATTCCTTCCCATGATTTTCAACTTCTTATCGACGTTTTGAAGAAAGAAAAATAAGTTCAAACATATCGAAGATGCTCTGACTCAACAGAATTCGTCAAAAAGCCATCGACTTGGTGGCTCACCGTGTTCTACCCAATCAATCTTACCTCTTCTTGGTTACGATTACGAATCAGAAGATTTTTTAAAAAGATGTTTGCTAATGAAAGCCTGGTTTAACTTTTCTAGTAACTAGTAATATCCAAAATAATCCTTGCTTGCAGGAATTTAAGTTGACCAAATTTGCAAAACAAAAAAAGCTATCAGGTTTGTTTAAGAAAAAAATATTCACATCAGGTTACTTTGGGAAAAGAAATTACGATTGTATAAAATCCTTCGCTTTTGATAGTATTCAGACTTAGATTGTGGACTAAAACACAACCTTTAGCGAAGGTTTTCTGATATTAGGTTGTTTTTAGAAAACCTTGTGCAAAATCTTATTTATTTGCAAATGTATTAAAAGAAGCCCACCAGGTGTTCGAAAAAATGTCATCTCATATATTCTAACAGTTTTTTTCATTTTTGATATGAATCAAGTTGTGTATTTTCCTCTCTATTCGAAATTCCCCAACCTCACTCTCTCACCATCTCATCTATTTTAGCAGTTTTTTTCATATATTTTAACAGGTTTTTTTTTTTTTTTTTTTTTTTTTGACACTCTTTTTTCATTGTTTCATAGTCTCTTTGGAAAATAAAATGTTATGATATGTGCAGCTCAAGACATTGGAGACCGGCCTTGTTATCTGCTTTCATCAACATAAAAGGTTAATAATACATAGGTCTAATTGCATATGCATTCTAGTTACTCTCATGTTTTATGTCTTTCACATCAATTTTTGTTGGTCATTATGTAAAATGTTTTTAGTTAGTGTTTCACTAGCATGCCTCTTAAGAAAATAAACTTTAATGATCATGGTAAGAGAATATATGTTTGTTTCACAATTTCTGCCATTTGATTGTTGATTTATTTGCTGTATGAAATGGCGCGTTTTGGCTTATTGAATATGTTGTTTATGCGACGCAAGATTTATGGGTGTTTGTTGTTTGTCAGATTTACCAAGGATACTAGAGGATTAATTATTACTTCAATATTTATGGGTGTTTGTTGTTTGTCAGATTAATTATTACTCCATATTTGGGACAAGGTCAAAATCGTCGAACAAAGTAAAAAACCATCAAAATTACGTGTAGGCTAACCTAAAACAAACCAGAAAATTAAAGATTCCAATTTAACATCTATTAAAACATCATCTTGTTTGTAGCATAACCAACAACTTACATTTACAAGCAGAATTAACAACCAACTGTTCATTTTATAGCCTGTACTTGACTTATTTTATAGCCAATTTTTCTGATAAAGTGACACATACACAAAGATTTGAATTCATATACAAATTACATGACTATATAAAGCATAGACCTATACAAATTTCATGTAAAAGCTTGTAAGTATATATTAATAATTAAATGCGTATAAACTTGATCTTGTATAATATGCCAAGCTAATGACAACTGTAATAAAGTTTGATCTTTTATCAGACCTTCCCAATCCTCTAGGTTCAATATTTGATGAAGCTTCATTTAAATTTACCAAAATCTCCATTTTCACTTCTTCAGAGATTCCCATGAAATCCCTTCCATTCTTTGTATTTATGATTTATAATCTCCTATCCCCAAGCTACATCAAAAGAATACAAATAAAATTTTTAAAAAAAGTAATTGACAAGATGATAACCCATGCAATCAAAGAATTCTTAATAATTGGATCAATTTTTATTACTTACTTTGATTTTGGGACCCTCATTCTCAATCTCGTCTCTTGAAAAAGACATAATTACCCATATAAGGTCTCTAAATGCATACCTAATAAGGCATAAAATCATCTTTGCTAAATAATATGTGTGTTTTTTTAATCAAAATCAATGTCAATGCTTTACAGCTGGTCCCCCATGAAAAGAAGCAGTAGCAAGGTCACCGTACAAGATTGACATGTGATTAGGAATTGGTCAATTCGAATGCAATAGTTAAGCAATAATCTAGACATTTTGTGATTCTATCTAGAAATTTTGATGAAGCAAAAGGTATTGTTGAGAGTTTCTATATTACATTATATTACATGAAATTAAGTTCATAGAAAGTATTGAACATCAAAACATACTTTAATATGCATAATATGTTAGCAATTAGGTTTATATTAAGTGTTGAACATCAAAACATACCTTAATATGCATAATAAATTAGCAATTTTGATAGAATTCTTCTTTGTAGTAGTTTTGTTTCCAATTATTATAGACTATTTTTAAAATTTTGATGATAAGAATGATGAATAAGTTTCTGATCATAATTAATGATAACTATGATCTATTATACTCCCAAGGTTCTGTTTGTGTCTGTTGTGTAGGCATTATGTCGAACACCTGGTGGGTAGGCTACATACATTACAATTGCAAGTCAAACTGAAACCCCAAAATGTGAATTAAAAGCAAGCGACCTAGAATACCCAAAAATTTGAATCAAAATTAGATATCAATCCGAAAAACTTAAAAATGGGGAAACTTTAGTAAGATATGTAAGAAAAAAATCTTTGATTGTTGCTGGGATTTAGATATTAATCCGAGAAACATAAAAATGAAGGAAATTTGTTGAAGACGATTAAATTGATGAACCCAGATGGTGAACTTGAGAAATAAAATGAAGAAACATGTTCTACACGTTGGTCGTTCTCTCCCTTAGTTCTGTCGTTGGTTAATGGTCGGCATGAACATTGAATCTCATAAAACTCAAACCAAAGAACTATGTGTAATCAGTTTGTTTTGGATGAATATTATCGGGACTGATTAGGTTTTTATGCAATTAAGGTAGATATCAAGAAGGAGAATGAGAAAATCCAATTTTGATCGAGGGATGGGGGACGATCGTAAGCATGGAGATCAGAGAGGAAAAAAAGTCAAATGGTTGTATATCTTCAACATGTAATATGCATTAATTACTTTCTTAAAATAACTAAAATGATTGGTCCATAATCAATTATACATGCACAGAATAGATATTAAAAACAAAATAACCTAACCCTATATATATATATATATATATATATATATATATATATATATATATATATATACACACACACACACACAAACATCCTTTAAAAACGTCAGGTTGCGTCAGAAATTCGAACCGGCGGCACTTCCGTGTAGAAAGAGTTTGAAAGTGGCCGAAAAAGGGATGGGTGGCTTCACTTTTTCTGACAGAAAACTTCGCCCAAAAAAAGGCTCCAGTCGTTGAAAAATCATTGGCGTTAAGCTGACTTCAACTTCCACACGATCGCATCCAGGTTTCCCTCTCATGTTCTTCATTTCAAAGTCATTCAAACCTTTGTTTAATTGAAATCAAATAGCAAGTGAGTATATCTCCTTTTACTTCCTTTTGAACAGATAGACCCCCAACAATAATGGTTTCAAGTGCTCAAAATGATCCAAAAAATAAACAATTCTAGGTCTCTGTTTCGTGATTGATTTTGGTTGTCCACCCTCATTTCCAATTTCTAAACATTGGCCGATCAGTTCACCTCACAAAATCATAAGTTATGTACTCAAAATGGATTCATCGACTCCAATTTATACACAACCAATGGCACAACGGATTTCCCTTTTCATCATATGGGAGTTGTAGATTAAGACTATTGAATCTTCCGTTAATTTCTTATCCAATTAGTATTTAATTGAATCCGCAGTGCTCCGATCCAAATAATAATGTATCGGTGCCAACCAGCCAATCAACCAACCAATACAAATTTTACCCTAATAAACAAAACTTTGTGGATTTAGGTAACGTGCTTTGACTTTACTTAAAATTGTGTTGATACGAAAGGCTCCAATTCCACTCAAAATACAAATTTTCTCAAGTTTAGTCATTCAAGGCTCCATTTCCACTCAAAATACTCCAACTGAAATAATAATACCTACCAGACAAGTTTCATTGAAAAATGCAACTTATGTTGATTTAGGCAACATACTTTGGCTGTATCTCAAAAGTGCCACAAGTTGTGTTGGGGAATTACGAATTTGGGTTATAGGAAATCTGGATCACAAACAGGAATCGTGCGATACACTTTCCTTGTTTGATATTTCGACCCTAATTGCCTTGGGTAGCACGAAATCCAAACTAGGATAATTCCTAAAGAAACAATTCTGATTTTAGGCACAAAACACAGAATCAATTTTGAGAGAGAATAAAGAAGAAAGCGTTCTTTCAGTTTTTCTGTGTTTCAACGAAGTTATACATTTCCCGGACTTATCCACACAACGGATAAAACGAGAACAGTTTTCAACTTTGAAAAAATACAAATTAATCCTTGAATTTGCATCTTTAAAGAATGACAAATTAATCCTCGTACTGTTCTAACAACGTTCAGTAAATACAAGTGTGCACTCTCACACCTCCTAATTTGTATTATAACTAAAACACTGTTCTTGAAACCCTTGTTAAATCTATTACACTAAAATATATTTGATGATTAAATCACCAACAAGTTGAACTGCTGGAATATCCATATCCATTCTTTTAAATTCAATTCCATATGATCACAATACTCAAACTAAGAGTATAAGATACAAGCGTGCAATAAGATGATTTTTCACCAAAAATGTATATCTTCCTTTGTCCTTTTCATTTAATCTTTACATACTTTTACCTTCTTATAAAAATTTTTGTATTAGTTTAGGAAGGTATAGCTTCCCTCCCTTCATCTTTTGGAATTTTTTCTTCTATTATATATTAGTTAGGGTTCTTCTATACATTTGAGCCTTTACAATATCAATTACGCAATACTCAAAAGAACATTTATCATGAGTTTAGAAAACTAACTTTTTTGGGAATATTATATTACAAAAAAGTAACGCAAACCTTGTCAAACCAAGTCTCTTTAATTTATCAGATGTTCTCTTTAAAGTTCCATTCATTGAGTAATATTGTACATGAACAGGATTCAAATTTACAATAAGTTATTACCACTTGACCGAAACATATCCTGGCAACATTGGAGATACCATGGTGTAGGACTCTATGTTTAATATGAAAACAAGTTCGGTTCATTGCATTGCAGTGCCAAAATGCACAGCCTAAGCACACAAAAATAAACAAGAAAGCCAAATTGTGAAAAATTAAGATACTCTTTGGTGAACAATTAGCATCCTAATTGCTGACCCCTGCAACTTTTCAACGGATAAAACACACTCACCATCGGTGGTTTTGCCCAGAGTGCGCCTCCAAGACTTTCTCCCCGACCCACCGTAGTGTGTTTTCTGATATAGTCCAAAAAAAAAAGATGATTTGGTTTAAGAATGAAGAAAAAGCATTGAATGATGTAAACCAAATACTTTTTTCAGAAGCATTTCCACAAATCACCAGATGCCTTGAAATGGTTCAAGGTTCAAATAGTATGATCAAAAGTAACAAAAATACTTTAAAAGCCGTAATGGAAAAGGGTATACAACTTTTGTGTATTAAGTTAGGTCCCTGTATGTATAGTACTTAAAAAATTTCTTACAATGTAATTATTAATTTTTGGTTGAAAAACTAATTATATCGTATCAATTTCAAAATTTAAAACAAAGTAAGATGATCAGTACTAGAAAACAGAGAAATTAAGTACCTGCTATAATAGTTGTTTGTGAATAGGCTTTTCTCCCGAGTCTACAGAGGCTCTCCAAATCATCCCTAGAGCACTGTGTTATTCACATATCCACATAGCACACATCATCATTCAAATCTATGGTTTGTATCATGGATCTAAAACCTAATGACTGCAGAAGCTCTCTCGACCCACAAATACGCAGTCCACTCGACAAGATAATGATCCGAGAAATATGACTTATGCATGCACAATGGCAGAGATTGAGATATTTTAAGCATTTCATCTTACAAATGCTAACCGGGATATCTTGTAAAAGCTTGCAAAAGCTGAGATTGAGGATCTCTAGACGTTCTAATCGGTTAAGATCCTCAGGTAACTTCTCAAGCAACGAACAATCATCAAGTTTGAGAGATTCAAGATGTTTCAACATACAAATGCTATCAGGAAGATATTTAATCTTTGCAGATGTCAAACACAGATTCCTTAAACATTCTAATCGGCCAAGATCTTCAGGTAACTTCTCAAGCAACCGACAATCATAAAGTTGAAGAGATTCAAGATGTTTCAACATACAAATGCTATCAGGAAGATCTTTAATCTTTTCAGATGACAAAGTTAGCTTCTTTAAACCTTCTAATCGGCCAAGATCCTCGGGTAATTTCTCAAGAAACTGACAAGAAAGTTCGAGGGATTGCAGATGTTTCAACATAAAGATGCAATCAGGAATATCTTTAATCTTTTCAGATGACAAAGTTAGCTTCTCCAGACATTCCAACCGATCAAGATCCTCAGGTAATTTCTCAAGAACCCGACAAGAAAGTTCGAGGGTTTCCAGATGTTTCAGCATACAAATGCTATCAGGAAGATCTTTGATCTTTTCAGAAGACAAAGTTAGCTTCTTTAAACATTCTAATCGGCCAAGATCCTCAGGTAATTTCTCAAGCAATGAACATGACTCAACTTCGAGAGAGATTTAAGATGTTTCAACATACAAATGTTATCAGGAAGATGTCTAATATTATTTGTACAAGAAATATGTAGCGTCGCTAGACATTGTAGCTGATCAAGATCCTTGGGGACCTCTGGAATACTGCCTTGGAGTTTAAGCTCTCTTAAACCTTCTAACCCACAAATGCTTCTTGAAAACGTATCAAAGTCTGTACAAGCACACATACCAAAAGAAATAAGCTTCTCAATGTTTCTAGTCAATAAGGGTTGATCTTCTTTATAAGAACATCTAAACTGAAACTTTGGCAAATGGCTGTTGGGGTGTAATGGACATACATCTAGGGTCTCTGCAATCAAATGTAACTCAGCTAAAGGACCAACCTCACTACAAGAAGCTTTACTCTGTATGTCAAACTTAAATGAGATAAACCTCAAACAACCGCTTAAGTCTAAGAAGACAATCTTTTTTAGCGATTCATTGTCCATGTGAAGTTCTACAAGATTGGAACAATTTTTAAGATCTAACGTATTGAGATTTGGAGTCAGCCTCAGATCAAGGTTACTGATCTTTGAACACCTGATGTTAAGCAATCTGAGCTTTTGACATATATCACCCATGTGAAGTTCTTCTAGATCAGAACACATTTCAAGATCTAAATACTCAAGATTCGGAGTCAGCCCAATGTCAAGGATCCTAATCTTCGAATATCCAAGTTTGATGGATCTCAGATTTGGAGATCTATCAGCCATGTGAAGTTCTACCAAAGACGAACATCTTGTAAGATCTAACTGCCATAGATTGAGAGCTGACCCGAGGTCAAGGGTCATCAACCCTGACCAACTGAGGTCAACAGTTTCAAGCTTTATACATCCAGCAAGCATGTGAAGTTCTACAAGATTGGAACAATGATTAAGATCTAACGTCTTGAGATTTGGAGTCAGACTAAGGTCAAGGTTCCTGATCTTTGAATGTCTAATGTTAACGAATGTGAGCTTCTGACATTCATCGCCCATGTGAAGTTCTTCTAGATCAGAACACATTTCAAGATCTAAATACTCAAGATTCGGAGTCAGCCCAATGTCAAGGGTCCTAACCTTCGAATATCCAAGTTTGATGGATCTCAGATTTGGAGATCTATCAGCCATGTGAAGTTCTACCAAAGACGAACATCTTGTAAGATCTAAGAGCATGAGATTGAGAGCTGACCCAAGGTCAAGGCTCCTCAACTCTGACCAACTGAGGTCAATGCTTATAAGCTTTTTACATCCAGCAAGCATGTGAAGTTCTACAAGATTGTAACAATTCTTAAGATCTAACGTTTTGAGATTTGGAGTTAGCTTCAAGTCAAGGTTCTTGAACTTTGAACGACTGATGTTAAGGAATGTGAGCTTTTGACATTCATCGCCCATGTGAAGTTCTTTTAGATCAGAACACTTTTCAAGATCTAGATACTCGAGATTTGGAGTCAGCCCAATGTCAAGGGTCCTCAACTTCGAATATCCAGCTTTGATGGATCTCAGATTTGGAGATCTATCGGGCATGTGAAGTTCTACCAAATTTGAACATTTTGTAAGATTTAACAGCTCGAGATTGAGAGCCAACCCAAGGTCAAGGGTCCTCAACGTTGACCCACGGAGGTCAACGGTTGTGAGCTTTATACTTCCAGAAAGCATGTGAAGTTCTACCAATTCATGACATCCTATAAGATTCAATGTCTCTATATTTGGAGTAAGCCCAAGATCAAGGGTCCTGAGCTTTGACCAACTAAGGTCAAGGATTCTGAGCTTGTTAAAAACCTATATATAATATAAGAAAAAAAAGGTATGGTGAATATTGTTGTAATAACAAAGCAATGGATGCATTGCATTCAAATGAGCAATGTAAAAGAAATAATCAACCATAATTCTACCTTTCTTTCTCCCCCTTCCCAAAGTTGTATGATTTTACAGGAATTCATCTCAAGTGCAACAAGATTATTTGCTTTAAATGTTTTGGGTAAAGACCTGAAGGGGTAATAGTTCCATTGCAGATATCGTAAAGCATCTGGGAATTTACTAAATTTCGAATTCGGATGAGAACATTCGCTTTTACTTTCACCACGCACGTAAAGAAATCTAAGTTCCTTCATTTTTCTAAGACCTTTCATTAGAATTTCCGGATTGAGGTCACGTGTGTCAAATTTTATATATCTTGTCTCTTCGGTACCCTGTAATAAAAAAGAAGTCATCATGAAAGTTGTGTCGTAGTTAATGAAAATGTGTTAGCTTTAACTTAGAAATAAACTTGATCCTTACCAAGTCATTAGTCAATACATCTTCAATTTCCTTGGTAATCCACAATCGACTATGTTTGTTAGGCTTATCCGGGTGCAACCGACGAACAATATTCCTGCCCATCTCTTCAATATGATCATGCATGCCCAAGCACTCTTCATCATCAGAAGAATCTTCATAAATGGTTATGAGAGATTTTTGCTCAAGAACTCTTAAACCAGTTCTAGCATGATATCCACAACTTTCAAGCACTTTGATTGCAAAGTCTTTCGACCATCCTTTAAATATACATGCAACATCTAGGAATATTTCTTTGTAATCCTCCTCTAGACTGATATAGCTTATTTCTAACTTTTTCAGAGTTTCCATTAACGGGATTGTTTTAAGTCTTTTCAGAGCATCTACCCATTCAAGCTCATTTTTACCACAAAGAAATGAACCCAAAACTTTGATCGTTAAGGGAAGACCAGCTGCATAATGCACAACTTGTTGTGAGAGTGCTTCGTACCCTATATCTGGAATCACTCTCCCAAATGCATACCTACTGAAGAGGCAAATTGCTTCCTCATCTAAAAACAACCGGACGTTATGAATCGACTTCACTCGATGTGCTACAAGCACTTGCTCATCTCTTGTTGTAATGATAATTCTACTTCCCGGCTTAAACCAATTCATCTCACCAGCCAACGCCTCAAGCTGTTCTATATGATCCACATCATCCAGAACAAGAAGAACCTTTTTACCATGAATCCATCTCTTCATCATGCTTTTCCCTTCGTAAACACTACTTACAGTGATGCCTTGATCCTTTATGATATCGGAAAGAATTTGATTTTGCAACGACTTCAAACCGAACAAAGAAGCATTTGAAACTTCCCTAACATTCTCAACGAAGCTTTTACCTTCGAATTGAAAGGATATTTGATCAAAAACAGCCCTGGCTAAAGTTGTCTTCCCACCACCTCCCATTCCCTTGATCCCGATCATGCGAACATCATTTAAACTTGTTCCTAGAGATGATAAAACATCATAGATCCGGGTCTCCATGCCTACTAATGTTTCATCAATGCTGAAATTGACGGATCGTAACTCTAGTGAAATTTCTCCAACAACTTTCTGGATGAATTTAGCTTCATGCCTGTATTTTAAAGAAGATTTAATTAGCTTATTTAAAAATCCCACATGAAGAATTTTACTTTCAAATCCAACATACATATTTACATGAAGTAATAACATAGTTGTATAATTAATCATATTTCATGTTCAAACTTTCAACAAGACTCCAAGCTTGAATTAGAATTTGACAATACAACATGAGATGCCATGTCCAAGCCTTTTACATCCAGGGTAAACTCAAATTAGAAGAAAAAAAAAAGCAAAGTGAAAGAAAATTGCAAATATATGATGACAGAATTATAAACACCTGCATACGAGAAAGTAAACTAATAAATAAGTCAACGACTCAACAATGTTTTTTTTTATAAGGGTTGAACTAAAGCAAAACCCTCAAGCACCTCTATTCTTAAATTAAGAAAGTTACTAAAATCAGAAACCGATTTGGAATAGTAATGATTAGCAACTATTTAGTCGTTTTGAGCCGGATTTTTAAGAAATTGGACATCGATGGTGCTGCTTGTGTAATGTTTATATTATATTCGACCTTGATCGATTCAAAATGTCGCCAAACTTGATATAAAAACCAGAAATAAAGAATAATACAAATAAATTGATGAAGTGATTACCTATCGGCAGTATTCTTCAACTCCCATCCGGCCAGATCCGCTGCTTCTTTTAGAGCACCCCTCCACTTCTCTGCAGCCTCTTCATTTTCATGATCGGCAAAGGCTTTTTCAACTGCCCCACTTTGTCTGCGGACTTCCGATGGTTCGACATCATAGAAGATGGGGTAGGCAGTATGCTCGGTGGTCTTGTGACACTCCATTATCTTCACAAGCTCATCTAAGCACCAAGAGGAAGAGGCATAATTTTTGGAGAAAACAATGATATAGAATTTTGAATCTTCAATGGATCTGATGAGTTCATCACAGATCCTTTTGCCCTTTTTGATTCTGTCATCATCCTTGTAAGTGTGAATGTTTTTCTGCTGAAGAGCATAATAAAGATGATCAACGAAATTTGTACGAGTGTCTTCGCCTCTAAAGCTCAAAAACACATCATACTTAAAACTCTTGTAAATGGATGAAGTAGAAGAAGACGCCATTGATAATACGCTCTAAGTCTTTGTTGAAAAACACTTTAACATAACGATTCCAAAAAAAGGAGGAGATGAAGTGAATAACCCTCGGCACGATGGTTCAATAATGGGAATGTGAAAGTCAACCCCAAAAAATACAAATAAAACCAACCAAACCTACCGCTTGTATTTTATTTATTTTTTGCTTATTTAAAAATCGGACCTTTTAAAAATGGTTATATAATTTACAGCGATTACATAAATGATCCTTGTGGGTCCAACAATTACATTTCCATTACATTTTTTTTTCCCTTTTTCACCATTTGGTCATAAAATGATTGTATACTAAAGGATGTTTGGGATTGTTTTTAAAACCACTTATAAATTTTTATATAAGTGTTATTCGGTTTTTTAGACTATTAGGTTTTTAATTTATAAAACAATCAAAAATCCAAAATAATAATCCGGTTTTGCTAAAAATCAATCAAAATTTTTGAATATCTGAACCAAATAGTCCGATCCAAATTGTCCAATTGGACAATTCGGTTTTATCGAACTAATGAACAACCTTGGTATTGATCTATGTTGGAAGAGCTATAAATGATCAATAATGACATGAATGTTCTTTCGAAATGTGCAAATCAAAGAGCCCTTATTCGATTTGTCTCGTTTAAATACATCAACTTGAACTAACCGAAACATGTTTCGACATCCATTTGCTTCTTACTAACACATGTGGATATAAAGTAAAATAAAATTATTATCGAAGAACCCTGATTGGAGTACCTCGTCATCAAAGAACCCTGATTCGATTCAGAAGATTGATTTGGGAGGTGGCATAAAGATACTGATGAATAATGTATCCACCGGGGAGGTGGGAGTTCATTAGGTCTAAAAGGGCATACCAGTTATTTTGGTGTTTGGAAATGGAGTTGAACCATCCAGAGAGTGGAGAAGTCAGAGTGGTGCCTACTCATTTCTTTTATTTAAACTATAAAACCGTTCAGAGAGTGGTAGAAATAATAGAAAGGTAAAAACTCAAAACTTGTTTGATATGGGCTATGGAGTATGGACCTATGGACCGAATAAGACAATGTATAATTACTAAATTATGTGGTTATCCTAGATTGAACAAAAGATCGGATTTGAACTAATTTCAAAAGGTTTGAAACCGAACGGTCTAAAACAAGATTAGCCTAATATTTTTCAGGATCAGTCCAACAAAATGGATCGTTCTGATACTGATACCGGTCTTGAAAAAGACTAGATTGTTCCGTCCAAGACCCTAATCGAGAATGGTCTCAAAAAAGACCGAAAGCCAATGTTTATAAACATATTATTTGTGTTAATTACAAAATTTGAAATTACATATTACCCAAATTTTCTTTTTCTTTTATTAAATTTTAGTGTATCATTTTTAGTAAATCTAAATGTATCATTTTAGTGTTACTCATACATTTGTTAACGAAAAAACTAGAAACTATAACACCCTGTTTTGAGATGTTTCATAATTCAGGGACGTGACCCGAAGATGAAGTATCATAAGGCTTTGGGCTTTGGGGATAAAGAGGTTTTGACTCATTTAGAAGTGGGTAATGTAGATTATGTGATCCAAAAGTTTGGTTTGTGCTTTAGAGTCAAATGGTAAAATGGGAAAAGTGGTGTTTGAGACTTCTTTTATGAATTAGGGATTTTATTTCAATGTGTTTTAAGTCAAAAGTAATTAGATAGGATTGTAGAGCTCCTCGATACCTTTTCATGGATATAAAGATCGTCGAAAACGGAGTTGGAACGAAGAAGTTGTAACCGTTAAAAGTTAGGAGGGTTTTGGGCTTAGTCTAGTACGTTGGGTATACAGGAAGTATGATAGGGGTATTGGGTATCCCTGATACGTTGGGTGTACAAGGAGTATGTTGGGCGTACGTGATCAGAACCCGAACCCTATTTTCATGGTTTGAGCCCTATTTAAGCTTCTTAACTTCCCCAAACCCATTACATTCTCAGCCTCCACATCTCCAACACCCTTCCTTGAAACCCTAAGCCTAGTTTGAGCCTTGGAGCAAAAAAAGGTGTTCTTGAGTGATTTGCAGTGTTCTTATAACATCCATAAAATTCTTAAAAATTTAAACCTTTTTCAAGCATCCAAAAACCATTACTTATTACAAAATGTTTTCAAAATAGTTTCATATCAGAGTATCCCAAAAATCAAAATCATAAAATGTGAGGAGGTGCACGTTCAAGCCTTCACCTTCCCACAATCATCCAAAGTACATGAAACAAAATCCAAACTGTAAGCCCGAAGCTTAGCGAGTTCCCCTAAAATACCAACGTGATACAAACCAGAACAATATCATAACAAACAACATGCATATAGAGTCTATAGTATGACTGGACCGTGTGACAACCCGATATTTCAACTCTTTGTAATGGCCTGCTAGGTCAAGTATTGTAACCATTTTTGAGTTAATCAAAATAAACGTTGGTAATAAAATGTCCAAAAAGTTTCTATTTAACTACCTACTATGTTTTATAACATTAAGCCGGGATCGTACGTAAAAGAGAATGCCCAAACCCGACTTCATATATTGAAGTTAAGATTTTTCCAAATTCGGCTTAGCAACAGTCAACTGAAAACTCGAATCAGAGATTGATCGACTTTTGGCCGGAATGACCTAAACGAGAATCGAAGGTCTCGACAATGGTTGTTCAGCGGTAAAAAGTCTGGCAAAAACCAACGTCAGATAAAGAAGTTATGAATTTTTAAAGAAATTCCTTAATCACGTATATAATAAAAATGAATTTGGAATTTGCCGACGGATTCTAAACGAAAGTTGTAGATCGTACTCTCACCTTCGCGGGGATATAAAGAACGTCAGAAACGGAGTTCGTATGAAGGAGATATGAATTTTTGAAGTTTAATAAATAATTTATATATAATTTTTATTAAAAACTTCGGTATTATCCGAAGTCTGACTCACGCACGTACGTCTCGCGTACACGAGTACGCCCAGCGTACTCGAGGCCACGGCCTCGGATCGTCCACGTTGCCCCTATGCGAGCTTACCCCCGTCCCATCCGAAGTGCGAGGCAGTCGAGGACTCGGTCATGCGTGACGTACGCGTACGCCCCGCGTACGGAGGCGGTTCCAGCCTCCTATAAATAGGATGCGAGGGTTCCCGGAAAATTTGCTCATTCTCTCTCACTTTTCTTGCGTTTTACCTCGTTTTCCGTGCCCGCACCACCCCGAAGCCCTGGTCATTTTGTGCAAGTCCCGAAGGTCGATTTTACTCCCGAGATTCCCGAGAATCCCGAGGAAAATCCGTTTCCCGAGATGAAACTCTGCCCGGTTTTCCATCTCGTTACCTTCAAACTTTCAAGTGAGTTCATACCCCTTAATTAACCCTTTTAATATTCTAAACACTTTTATATGCTTTCTAAGGGGGGAAATACAAGTAAAACACACGACTAATATCGGGTGTTATATATAAAGATTATTATACACTTTTATTAAGTGGAATCATGTGTGATTTACAAACTTTATAGGGAACTCCCGTATACAAAATATATTACAATAGATGCTATCTTTAAAAACTATAAATGGTTGTAATGCATGTATAAACTAAACATTTTCTTAGATTTAAAGTATGTTGTGTCTATCTTAGACGCTACGAAAATCTATGATTTCATAACAAATGATTCTTTTCTAGATATTCTAAAAACAAACGAGGCACACTTTTAGAAAGCTATAATAGGTATATTTTTATGAGGACATTGCTAACTTTTACATACTAGAAACACGATTTTCGAGAAATCACTTTCATGTACGATAACAAACGAACATTTCAACACGTAAATCTGTTTTTATACTACGGTTCTGTGAGACATTTACTTCACGTACGTTCGAGTACACATTTCAAGTCCTGTATTATATACCAGAATCCCTTGGAGGGGGAGCATGGTGTTTGTGTATAGATCTATACGGGCTTGACAACCCGTGCCCTGACTGTTAGCTACAGTCCACCGTTTGGGGTGACAAACATCATAACATTCCAACGCCTGAAGAACGTTGTGTATAGGCAATCCGAGTCAATAGTATGGTTATAAAGCTCACAGGAGGTATTAAAAGTACATTGATTTACGAGATTTTCAAACATATTGGTTACTTTTACACTTACAAACATTTTGGAAACAAACTTTGGTCTGGAAGGAAGACTACTTTTATACTAGTAGAAAATACAGGATTTTCTAAACACAAACAAACAAGGACAAGATATTTCATTTCATACAAACATTGTCATTAAATACTTATGAAACTCACCAACTTAAATGCTGATCTACTCTTTCAAAATTACTTGTATGTCCCAGGGATTCAGTAACTACAGGTATCATTATCCTTTTGATGTAGAGATGTTTGCGGTGCCAGTTTAAATCTCATATTTTGACATCATAGTTGTAATTGATTTTGAACATGTAACTACTGACAAATGTAAACTTTCAATTATATATATATGATGGTTGTATTGCTTTCTTTACTATGTATTCACTTGTTACGCTACCACATGAAGTCATCCGCCCCCGAACGTTTCCGCCGTTCAGGTTTGGGGGTGTGACAGATCGGTATCAAAAGCAATGTTTATAGTGAACTAAGTATATCGAACCGCATAAGATATACAAACTATAAATGCTTAAGGGACTAATACTCTCTGACAAAACGATTTTATTTACGCCTAAGCCGCGTTACGTGTAACTTAAAAATGTTAGTTCATTCAAGTACAAATACATGCACACAACACATTACTTTCATGTTTATTAACTATACAACAAGTATTTAGACAAGTTGGACACTACGATTAAGACTCGATATATATAATCAGATTTGGGACAAATATAGTGTGATCAACTATATTTGCCCGAAATCGAACCAATGTATATCGAGGAACGCTCGTAGTGAGCAACAAGTCAAAACTTACCAAAAACATCACAAAGATCAAACACAAGAATTTAAATACTATAAGAGTATTTGGTGC